CCAGCGGTCCGGGGGGCTCTCCCCGCTGCCCTGCCCCGCGATCCGGGGGGCTCCCCGCGGGGGGAGCCTCCGAGGTGGTTTTTGAATCACTGCAGGCTCCAAAGACGTGGCTGAGGGCTCAGCGAGAGCCTCCCACCTTCTCAGGTCTGCAGAGAACTTGTCAAGTTTTAGTCTTCGGAGTTTAGGGAAGGGGGTAAACTGTGCTCCCCTGAGTTCTAAAGCAGTGTGCACTCTGACACTTGACTTTTCTCCCCCACCCCCCCCAGTCAGTTTTATTTTGAAAATCAAACCTTCTGTAGTAACTAGCGGAGCAAATTATTTCCAGTCATCAAGCTGTAGACTAAACGTGTGTTTCTTTAGATATTTATTTCCTGCTGTAGGCTGCCTCAGATAAAGCTGTTCGCTAATGCATTTATAATACATAAAATGTGCTATAAAGAAGTACACCAGCCAAAGAATTAACTACTGGCAGCAGCTTAGTTCCTTCAGGGTGAGAGAGTGGGAGTAAAAGCTCCCAGCTAGTTACGGGAGCAACCAACTCTCCTTTCCTCTTCACGTCCTCCCACCCGCAGCCCACCCCACGTGCTCGATGGCTGCCTGTCCCTGGGAAGGGTGCCCTGGCACGCACCTCGCTTCTGGCTCTCACGAAGATGGAAGAGCCAGGGAAGGAAAGATGCTGCCAGAGTGTTGGAGCCCTGCGGAGAGGACAGTGTGCAGCTTAGTAATGTGTCTCGATGTCTTGGACTTGGGTTGCGGTCATGGGATTATAAAGTAGTTGAGTTGTGGAAGTGCAGAGAGGAGAAGAGTCTTCTCTTTTCCTCTCAAAGTTGAAGGCAATGACTGAATATTTTAATATTTATCAAGTCCAGCATGGCTTTTTTTCTTGCTAGCTGCTCTTTGTTTTCTGGCTGTCGAATGAGACAGTAAACGACCTCGTGTCTTTTCAAGGGACAAGGAGCTTCATACGTTAAAGTTGTTACTCTGTTATTTTAGATATCCCGGATCAAGTAATAAGAGTTTTCAAAGCGGATCAGCAGAGTTGTTACATTATCATCAGCAAAGACACTACAGCAAAAGAGGTGGTGAGTCACGCCGTCCACGAGTTCAACTTGACGGGCGCCCCGGAGACCTACTCCCTGTGCGAGGTGTCCGTCAGCCCCGAGGGAGTCATCAAGCAGCGGAGGCTCCCAGATCAGTTCTCCAAACTGGCCGACAGGATTCAACTCAATGGACGGTAAAAGGGCCCTTGGCGTGGTTTTGGTGTGGATTTATTTGCCATTTAGGGTTGAAACATCTGAAAGAAGAGTTGGGGAGGGATGTTTTAATTAAAATACGCTGGTGCCTACTAGAAGAACAAGCAAGTAGATGTCAATGACTTACACTTCCCTCTGCTCTCTTCTTCCTTGTCTCACCGTCGTCTTCTGCACCCAAAAACCCCTCCCCAGATCTACAGTAAGCTTGCTTGGGGACAGCTAAATTTAGCAGATTGGGAGAACATCTGTAGTGGCTTACACTTAAAAAGAAAAAGGTTATATTTGTTCTGACCCTTCCCACATGTACTTCAGGATTAAAGCACACAGTTAATTTCTTTCTCGGTGATGTCACGTTGCACTGAACTGGTACTAAACTGAGATAAATTCTTCCGTTTTTATGTAAACTGTTACAAATGTTTCTGAAATGTTAAGTGCTTCACGTTTACCTGATGACCTGATCCATATGAGAAGAAAGTTTATAAAGTAAAAAATTCTTTAGCCTTCTTTGCTAGGCAACAGAGGGAATTTATGAGGAGCAAACTTTTGTATATCTGAAAGTGATCTGCTCGGGACCATGGGGAATGAATTTTCCAGATACATTTTCATTTCCTGAATACTGTGTGCTTCATGTAAATATTAATATGCCACACTAAATTTATGTAAGAAACCACACTAGATTTGTGTAAGAAATGGAGAAATACATTAACAAGAGATTTCTCAGGACTAATGTGTATTTAAAATGTTATTTCACTGCTGAATTTACAAATGGAAAAGTAACTGACCTTTTTCTGAAGGTGAAAGCTACAGCAAGTTACAGAGTACAGTACAGAAAATATTGGCAAAGAGATAGATTAAAACAACTTTTGAAATGTTTTCTTTACTTCAGTAAGGATGGTATTTTGTCATAGCTAAAGTACAAGGTTATGTTGTCCCTTCTTGCCTCTGTCTCTGCCTCTTACTCTGGGTTGTCACCAGTTACACGGAAATACTCTCAACATAAACACCCCTGTGGTGTCAGTAAGGGCCATGTTGGTTGGTATAGTTCGGTGTCTTTGTGTTCACAAACCCTCTGAGGAGCATTGCTAACGTTCTGTTGTAACTCCATTATTCCTTAGGTATTATCTGAAAAACAATATGGAGACGGAGACCTTGTGCTCAGATGAGGATGCTCAGGAGCTGCTGAGAGAAAGCCAAATTTCCCTCCTACAGCTGAGCACCATTGAGGTCGCCACTCAGCTCTCCATGAGAGACTTTGAATTATTTCGCAATATTGAGCCTACAGAATACATCGATGACCTTTACAAGCTGGACTCCAAAACAGGGAATGCTCACCTGAAGCAGTTTGAGGATGTCATAAATCAAGAGACCTTCTGGGTTGCCATGGAGATTTTAGCAGAGCCCAACCAACTCAAAAGGATGAAGATTATTAAGCATTTCATTAAAATTGCCCTCCACTGTCGAGAATGCAAGAACTTCAATTCCATGTTCGCGGTTATAAGGTAAAACACTTCCCATTTGTCAGATCTGATCTGTGCTGTCAAAGGCAATTATGTTAATCTAAGGGAAAAAAAAAGAAATAGGTACGTCCTGAGCAGATGGCGGCTGGCGCCGGTGGTGTGGAGGGAATTGCCAAGCTTTCCAAAAGCCAGACTGCGAGAAGAGGCGTGTTGTCACCACAGTCTTTTCCTTCCTCCGCCTTGCCGCGGTGCCTGGTGCGGCTGTGTCTGCTTTAGCCGTTACCTGGCAGGGGAAGAGAGGACGGGGACAAAAGCACTCCTTGGTTGATGAACTTCAGCAGCCGGCCTGAACATTGCCGTCATTTTCCATGGTTCTGGCACCCAGTTTCCCTGCTTCTTTCAGTCATTGTTGCTTTTTCAGTGTGCACGGAGTCATATCTGCGATGAGGAGATTACTTTATTTTTTCCTTTCATTGGAAGGACTTCCTCAGATCAGTCTTGGTTTAGTTTAATTTTCCTTTGCATTCTTTCCTGTCACCTGCTTGCTTCGCTTTTTTTCCCCCTCTTCATTTGCACATTTAGACTTTCTCTTCTGATTTAGAGTAGATGCTGTTACTTTAACAGCGGGAGTTCAGCATTTCCTTCATTTGCAATTATCTTATACCCAGGATTCATCAGGCAGAGATCTGGATTCATGCTGTATCCCAGCACTAGCTTTGAAAGTACCATTTTTAAATATTTTCTTCCGTGTCTAGCCAGTTTATCAAATGGTGTTGGCTTCTGTTTAGTCATACATTAAGGAATTCATGAATTTCCCTAAAGGATGCTTGAGCAACAACTGGGGCTGTGGCTGCGCGTTGCTTGGTGAACACACGAGTGGATACGGAATCCGATTCCTATATTCTGCTCCCGAATTCCTCGTGGTTCATTGTAGATGGAGAAATGACTCTGCCTACTTCTGAGTGAAGTCTCATCAGGCCATGACCAAAGTGGTGTTGGGTCAAAAGAAAAACAAATAAATTAGCTTTTGTTTGTAATTTGTTAGCGTTATACCACAGGGGTGCTCTCTCTTGCCCTGCCTTGCGCTGCGTGTTGAGACGATGCCGTGTGTGTCGTGGCACAGGGGGATGACAGTCCCAGTGCAGCGTGTGAGAGAGGAGCTGTGCCGTGGCAGAGGCTCGATTTTCTCGTGCGAGAGAAGGCTTGGTTTGTGGCTTGACAACAGCATGGAGAGAAATCTGTATTTAAAAAAAAAAGGGTTTTTGAAGCTTTCAAAATCAGACAAAATGTTCTTGGAATAGCGAACTCAGTAATTGTAGAATTCTGAATTTGGTAATGAATGCTGGAGAACATCACTTTTCAGTTCTGCAGCTACAAGGACACAGAATCACACTGCACAGGACCTTGTCCAGGCGGGTCTGGAATATCTCCAGAGAAGGAGACTCCACAGCCTCCCTGGGCAGCCTGGGCCAGGGCTCCGTCACCCTCAGAGGGAAGAAGATCTTCCTCATCTTCAGCTGGAGCTTCCTCTGCTTCAGTTTGTGCCCGTTGCCCCTTGTCCTGTCGCTGGATGTTTGTGCCTGGTGAATAGGAAGCAGTCACGCTCCTTGCGGTTCTCTCTCACACGCTCACAGGAGCGCACAGCGGAGGTTTGTTATGGTGATCTTGCAGCCTGACATTTGTTCAGCTTTACAATTAACCTTGTGAAAGCTGTTTTTAATGCTGAAAACAAAAAACCAAACCTTTACTTCCTTGTGAAACGTAATGATTCCACCAACAGCTCCTAATGAGATGTGTCTGCCTTACAGCGGGTTAAATCTCGCGCCGGTGGCACGGCTCCGAGGCACTTGGGAGAAGCTACCGAGCAAGTACGAAAAGCACCTCAGAGACCTGCAAGACCTATTTGATCCGTCTCGAAACATGGCAAAATACCGCAACATCCTCAGCAGCCAGAGCATGCAGCCTCCAATTATTCCACTTTTTCCTGTTGTCAAGAAGGATATCACGTTTCTGCATGAAGGTAACGTCAGCCGCGGAGAAATAACAACCTAAGCACGTGTTAGTCCTTCCTTCAGCGCTCCATGATTCAACGAGTGTCTGAAACGTGCTGCCTCCAGTCCTTTGTGGGAGTGAGAGTGCAGAATAGAAGAAAAATTAAAAACTAAACACATATTTTTAGTACTTTAAAAGCAATGCTTGATGTTCATCAGCTGTCCTGAGGTTTAGGGTGGAAGAGTAGGTGAGTGTGCCAGCTGGTGACATGTATCTCTCTTACGAGCACTTGGTGCTGTGATGTGTCTAGGTTTGCGTTCCATGTTGTTGCTTTCAGGCAGCTACGATGATACAACACCTCCTACTCCTGCTTGCAGCATTTTCAAGGGGTTTTGTTTAAATGTTTCCATTTTTTTCCTTTACACAAAGTTCTGTTCACAACTGGTTAAGACGTTAAGCGTTTCCAAATATGCCCAGTCCTTGGTTGTGACGCTTCAGAAATATTAGAACTAATTTCAGAACGTGAATGCTGTTGAGGTCAGTTCTGTATTTATATTATTTTCACATCTGAACCAATGGATTTGGGCATAGCTCACTTACTCCTTTTTCCTCCCACTGATACTTGTTACTTTAGAAATAGATTAATGAGCAGTGCTGGGTAGCCGAGTCGGCCCGATTGGCCCTTGCGTTGTGCCAGAGTTTCCAATTCTCTTGCTCGTTTGGTTAAAGCAGTTGGGTTGATGGAGGGACAGGGAGGGAGGAGGGGTAGCGTCAGGGACATAGAAACATATTGCACATTAGAAAAGTATTTCTTTCTTCTTTTTTCATATGTGTCTGTGTTTCAATTATGCAGGAAATGATTCGAAAGTGGACGGCCTGGTGAATTTTGAGAAGCTCAGGATGATTGCCAAAGAAATTCGCCAAGTGGTCCGAATGACCTCTGCGAACATGGATCCGGCTGTGATGTTCCGACAAAGGTGTGCAGTGTAGGAGACAGCAGGGCTGGCGGTGTCGCGGAGGGGCTGGGGGCAAGGGTTGGTGTGTGCATCCGTACGCTGGGATTTCATTGTGTAACCTACCATCGACATTGGCCATCAGAACCACGATCTTTAGCAGATTATGGCATGACAGTTGGTGCTTCTAAGACCTGCTTTTAATGACGGCTGAACCAATTTGCTGTCTATAAAAAGCAAAGCAGAGTAGGTTCCAATTTTAATGATTCATGGTTTTGCTAAATAAATTGTTAGTGTCAGTAGAGATTTTTGGGAGAGGTATAATGTTAGGGGGCTATAACATTAGCTATATGTAAGAGGGATATAAAAAGAACCTAAATTGCCCATGTATAAGTCTGAAATGTTGCTTCAAAACAAAACCCCACTGATAACATGTTAAAAACAAACAAAATACTTTTTATTTGTTCTAAGCACAGCTTGCTCCACTTACATACTATTGGACATGTTCAGGCTGTAAGCAGGTGGAGGGTGTTTGCTTGTTTTCTTTTTTCTGGTGCATAACATGATCGGGCTCCGTGTTAACAAACAAGCACCACGGCTTCTGCTCTGGTGCTGCTTCGCTCCAGCTTAGATTTAGTGGAACTCAAGAATTTTCCTGCACCGGTTTGCTTCCCACCGGCTGAACGAGAAGCGTCAGCGGCTCCGTTGTGTCGGTGCGGGGTCCTGATGCCTGGAGATCGCTGCCGAGAAGGGTTTTGTGGTCCTTTCCTTGCGCTGTTAGTTCACCTCTCCAGTGACCGGGCCAGACAGAACCCCCTCAGGATGCAGCTCAGGTGGGGACTTGGTGACCGGGTGATGTCCTGTGCTGAATCACCGCACGGTTCCTACTTCAGACAATGCCAGAAGCTCCTTCCGAGCGCTCTGTTCCCCCCGGCCGGCGGCGCAGAGCTCCCCGAGCACCGCGGAGCGAGCAGAGCGCGGCGGACGCTGAGCGGGCGGCTGCTTGGGCGAGCTGCGCTGCGCAGAAGCCCCTCAGGGAGTCCCAGGCGATGGGTGACCCGGGCAGCTGTAGGTGGCTTCAGTGCAGGAGTTGGGGGTGCATCTGTGCAGCGAAGGGGATAGCGTGTGCGAGGGTGCGCAGCTTCTCTGAGAGCAAAGGGGTTTGGTGCCCGGTGGCCTGGCAGCGGCCAGGACTCGCAGCCGGTCATTGACCCTCTCTGGGTTTTGTTTGCAAGGCTGACCAGCAGCAAACAGCAGTGTTCTGTTTGAAATTGCTCCAGTTGAGGTCTGAGGCAGAAAGAACAGATCCCTTGTTAATGTTGTGTGGAGGTGGATTCGTTGCGAAGTGGAGATTCACCTCCACCCTACTGGGTTTGAATTAGCAAAATTTCCTTTTTAACGTAAAGTTGTAAAGCTGCTTACTGATAAGCTATGATAATGCTTTTCAGACTATAAATAAATTTCCCTAGTGCCCCGTGCACTTCTGAAGACCTAATGAAGTCTAATCATTAAATGAATTTAATAGTAAATAGTTACCTTTAGCAAGTTTTTCAGAATTACAGAACACAATTTAATGCCCTTAATTTAAATTATGCACACGGACGTAGAATGCTCAGGCATCTAATATTAGAGACAGTGCCAAAGATTAAAAGAAAATAATTCCATGTTTTCACATCATTTATATTCATTTTTATTGCCTCTGGTGTTTTGATCTATCAGTTTGTGCAATGAAGCACCAATAAATGCTTTTGAAGTTTAAAAAAGAACAAGAAAAGATGTTTGTTGGCGGTAAGATGAGACTTGCTAGCAAGTTCATTACCGATGAAGATAGAGCATCTAGTTTTTCAGTGTGTGTTTGGCACCTAGCTTGTTTTCCAGCAAGCAATCAAGAGAAAACAACATCATAAACTTGAATACTGATGATGATTTCTCGTACGCTTACTGCAGTCCTAATGCAAAGAATAAATTAATTTAATCACACTTTCAGCAATATGAATAAGTTAATAGTTTTTGCTCGCTCTATCAAAATTGAATTTGACTTACAAGAAATACTTAACAAGAAAATTTAATGTGAGATTGGTTTTTAAATTCGTAGGTTAAACTCAAAAATAAACAAGAAACTGATAGACGTTCTTCCATGTTAAAGTATTTGAGCAAGTCCTGCCCTTGCATTCCATTAAAACATTGTGTTATTGTTTGAGAAGAATTTTGCTGTGTAGAATTTTTTTCTTTTCTGTTCTTTCCTGTCCACATCTTTCTTCCTGACTCTCAACTGTTTTATTTTTTTCCTGTGCTTTTCTGTTCAAATACATGCTTCAATGTATATGGCTCTTGCTTACAGGAAGAAGAGGTGGAGAAGTTTGGGGTAAGTGTAGAGATGAATGCAACTAAGATAAATAAAGATTATGCAACTCTTAACATACTGCATCCTCCTCTCTAGTGCATGCATCTGAAGTACAGCATGCATTTTATTAACCCTGCAATACCTATTTTTTGGAGAACAGGAATAAGGGGTTACAGTCAATGCAATACTGCAGCTATAAGAATTCTGAGTTGCTTTTGTGTACTAGATAAGTTGTTTGAGTTTTGGCTTTATGCATAAAACCCCCGCTGAGCAGTTATATTGGAGGGCAGACTATTCTGGGAAATAAATAACTGCTTTTTAACTTGTAACAGAAAAGTTTAAGCCGTTATGCATTTTAAACCGTAAGGACGCATTGAATTGTGATAATGATGTAGTAATTTCTCCTCTGAAGTTTGTGTTCAAGCTTCAGAGTACTTATTTTTAATATATATTTGAAATCTGCGTTACATTTCATACACCAAAATCCGCGTTGATTTCACTGGGCACCTTGCTTGTGCAAGGACTGACTACTGGAACAACTACAGATGCGAGCAGTGAGGTCGCCTGGTGAAACTCCCGGCTGACGCTTTCTGGCAGTGATTTGAAGATGACTTTGTAGCCGTAATTTCCCTGCTGTTCTGTGTGGTTTTTGCCCAGAAACTGTGTCCCTGAGCCCGTGTGCCTTTGCACTTTGAAACTGTACCGCTTTCGTCCTGTGGGCATCTGGGTTAGAGCCGGCTGCGCGTTGGTTTCACAGAATCCCAGAATGGTCGGGGTTGGAAGGGACCTCTGTGGGTCATCTAGTCCAACCCCCCTGCCGAAGCAGGGTCACCCAGAGCAGGCTGTTTGCCGACGTTCTGCAGAGGATGGCGGCAGGAACGCTCTGCCCTCCTGCAGTCGCCCTGCAAGTCGCAGAGGAAGCCTGGCGCGGTTTGGCAGCGGGGAGCGTCCCGGCCCCTCCGGGCAGAGAGCGGGCTTCCCTTTTTCCAGCCGTGCTGGGGACAGTGCCAGGGCTCCTGCTGGGCACACTGGGAGGGCAGGTCGGGAGACTGGTCCCCGAGGTGAAACCAGCAGCGTGCGGGTGCCCTTGGTGCGGGAGAGCTCGGCTGGCAGCGTTGGGCGGTCGGTCATCAGCCGCTCACGGGGGGAAATGCCTGGGACCCAGCTGGAGTCAGCGTAATTTCTATCCCTTGGGATTACTGCGAACACAAGCAAATAGGGAAGAATCATTTTTAGAGGAAACTGAATTAAATTGCCTTAAGTCAAGTCCGGACTTAAATATTTTATTGCTTAGGTACACGCTGTTTTATATCATTAAAAACAAACATAGTTTAGTTTGCTGTTTCCTATACAATAGGTATTAGCTCAGTCCTTACCTGCAGGAGATAGGAGTGCCTCTTTGGTTTGAATAGGTGTGAACAGTCCGTCAGGCCTTTTGCTGCTCTTTGCCTATAATTTAATTAAGCGATAAATTTCTGCTGGTTTTTAAGCCTGTAGTTTCTCTTAGGTGAAGGTATTTAACGTCTTTGAAAATATTGCAGTCAGCAGTTTCCCACCATTTCCGATTTTTGAAGCTCAGTGTGCTGGATTCTGTAGACTTCCCCAAACAACGCGTCTCCGTCTGACCCTTGGCCGTTGCGGCCCCTCTGTGCTGGAGGTTGTTTATTCTGCTGCGTGTGATCCTGTAAGCGCGCTCGAGATCTTTGTAAACATCTTTACAAATAATTTAGCCTCTTAAAATAGCTGTTCCTCTGAATGTTTAAAAGCCCCCTACAATTTCCATGAGAACTGACGTGTAACATATATCACAGAATCCCAGCATGGCAGGGGTTGGCAGGGACCTCTGTGGGTCACCCAGTCCAACCCCCTGCCCAAGCA